ACCAAGAGTGAACTTGAACGGGGTGCCACGATCGCGGCTCGAATCAAACTGAGTCCCATCCAGCAAAGTCCCAGTATAGTGAACTACATTAAGAACAGAAAGAACAACAACCCAAAAACTCAGAATCGAAAAATAGAAAGATCAGTAGCAGGTTATAGTGGGTGACGTACCTTCAACCTCGTCGCCATTTTCAGGAGTGACCCATCCTTCACCTTCCTTCAAAAGCTTCTTCTTCAACCCTTGATTTCCAATTTCCTTCTCCTCCCCAACCTTAAGCGCAGCGGGTTCATCAGGAAGATCGAAGTCGTCGTTCATGTCAGGCGCAGCAGGGATATCAAAATCCTCATCCATGTGGGGTAAAATGAGAACAGAGAACCAACGAAAAGATCAAAGGATTCGAAATAAGGAGCAAAGGTAGGTCTGAGCTCAGATGAGTGAGATAACGGAAGGAGGAGGCTGGAGAATGAGGGGTTATAGGGAAGAAAAAGTGGGGTTCTAGAAACTTCTACGAAGACAGGAAACGAGGGTTTTTAGAGAGTTTCAAGACTGAATGAACTGTGATTATTATTCTAAAGGAAGCTCCACGAATGGTGAGGATGGTTCTAGACACAGAGAGAGATTAAAGAAAAAATCAAAACATTCAATATAAGGTTAAAATTGTATTTTTTGTTGCACTTTTTTGTAACATTTTTGTTTTGTTGTTTTTTTTTTTTTCTTTTAATGGAATATTTTAAGTTAAATTATAGACTTTATCTTTTGACTTCAAAACTGCTCTATTTTAGAATTAAATTCTATTTTTGTTGCACTTTTGTATCATTTTTTTTTTGTTTTTTTTAATATTTTAGGATAAACTTAAGTCCCAATAAAATGATCTAATGATCTAATAAATATAAATATAAATTTTATGTTTAATAGATTCGTTGATTTAAAACAATATAAAATAATTTTAGTTTCTGATTATTATTATTAATAAATAATATTTCTCAATTGAGTTGGTTTAATCATCCTTCAAGTATTTGAAGTTATTCTGATATACTAAAATATTAAGATCATTAAATGTCAAATTTAGATTCTACGAAAATATTAAGATCATTAAATGTCAAATTTAGATTCCAATAAATGTCAAATTTAGATTCCAAATCTAAATCTAAGAGCAGAAATCCAACACTCTGAATTCAGCATTCAACGACCTTCTAAGAATTTCAAGATCTCTTTACGCTTGAAATTTAAAACTAATGAAAGTACCCAAGAATTGTTAAGATTTCAACAGCATTTTAAACTTAAAATGATTCATTCTAATCAGAGAACATAGATAAGAGTTTAATGTTTTAAAGGCATCTAAATCAATAAAACATAAAAACTAGCATCAAAGAAGTCTAAACTAGAGGGTATCTCATGGAGCAAATCCTCCGTCCTCTAGAAAAGTACCTAAAAGTTGAGATCTGGGGTTATACCAGGAAGAACAAGGAAAAAGGTGGAGAAGAACAAGCAAGAAGATGGAAGATATCGAACTTGGAGAAACCAAAGGGGCTCGCTAGCCAGTGGTAGAATAGTTGCTTTAGACTTATAGTTCTCTGTCATCATCATCTGAGTTTCCACCACTTGATGGCTTCCCATTAACAGCCACAAGCTCAGTGTCAAATATAAGTGTTGCACCACCTGTAAGTAAATTCACATCATTCAGAAAAAGAAAAAGATTCTAACGACATCCTCGACCTCGTGTCAGAGCAGGGCATGTGCCTAAACCAGTTAAACATTTCTAGTGGAACCTTATGTTATTTCAAAGTACCTACAATGAGTCAGCTTCTCATTAATATTGAACTCGATAACAAATGTCGAGGATTGAATGGACGTGTTTATAAAACCCAATGGACTATAAAACGAAGCATACATAGGGACCAAGAAGTGAAAATGACATAATATAAGGATCAGATTTGAAACTTGAGCAATATTTCTATACAAACAGAAGAAACCCATTAACTTCTATCTTCTTAAATAGGCTTATATTGAATGAAATACCTGGTATGGTTGGTGGAGAGCCTTGCGGTCCATACCCCAACTTTGCAGGAATTTTCAGTTTCCGTTTCTCACCAACGCACATTCCCAATAACCCTTGGTCCCATCCTGAAAACAAAAGAATTTTCAACTCACAATAACTTCCATGCACGATATCAGAATAGGTATGAACAGATCTTTACTAATGGCCTTATTCATATACATTATATTGAATCTTCTGTGCCTAATCATAACATTTGTGGATTTGGGAACACAGTTCAAAGATAAATAACAACGTTGGACAAGTGAAGGAAAAAAAGTTCTGGGAAAACGAGGGAGTGTACTCTACCCTGCATTTGTACTGGGAAGTGAATTATAAGGAGGAGCTCTCATGTTCTTCTCATTTGTACTGATAGCTTTTAACTAAAGCATAACCTACTTAAAATCTATAATTGTAATAGCTCAAGTCTACTGATAGCAAATATGGTAGTTTTTGAGTTTTTCCTTCTGAGCTTCCCTTCAAAGTTTTAAAATACGTCTACTAGGAAGAGGTTTGAATACCCTCGTAAAGAATGTTTCGTTCCCCTCTCCAACTGATGTGGGATCTTACAATCATAATACATAGAATCATTTCTCGACAACAGCTGAGCTCAAACCCAATTGGAACAACATGGAGTCCAGGACAATGGAGAACAAGGAACATTCAAAATAGAAAGAACTTCAACAAAAAAAAAAAAAAAAAAAAAAAAAAAAAAAAAAAAAAAAAAAAAAAAAAAAAAAAAAAAAAAAAAAAAA